TTTCTTCAAAAGTAGCAGAGGGAATTAATTACTTTGTAAAGTCGGTTACATTCATAGCTCAAAGTTTCATATGTGCTATCATTTGTTGTAAAAAAAAATTTTTTTATTCAACCAGATAATGCAGAACTAAAAACTCGCCACATCTTTTCGTTAACATACGCATTTCTCTCATAAAAATAGACTAGAATATCGCATATGTCATCTTTAAAACTTAAATATGTAAATAGCTGATTTTTCCCCAAATTTCTAGTTTATTCAACGAATGTTGTCTAAAATTTTGAGCCTCCATAATTTCATAAAACGTAATTACCTATTTTGTCAGACACATATAAAAACGCAGAAATACAATTTTGATAATACTTAAATAACTTTTGATGTTGAATTTAAGACAACTATCTTATTAAGCTCCCTGAAATTTGTTTGCGGGTGTTTATAGCCGTCGTTCTGTCTTTCCGCCCGTCTGTGTGTCAAAAATAATTGATTTCTGGATGACAACTTAATATTTTGACGAGGATACTTTGAACTTTGCGTTGCAGATTTGTTCCTTTGGTGTCATGAATTGCAGTTTATGGTCTAATTTTATAAAGACCAAACGAAAGACTACCTAAAGGATATTTTCAAAAACAAATGCATATACTTAGACGAGATCTTCTACTTGAATAAAATATTAAGCCCTTTTCAACTGATTTTTATAGTCTGTTTATATGTTGTAATGTTACATCACTTTCCCACATTATGTATGTGCCTGTCCCAAGTCAGGAGCAGGAATTCAGTGGTTGTTCTTTTGTTTCTGTATATCACATTTGTTATTAGTTTATTGGTTTGTACAGTTTGTTCTTGTGTTGTGCTATTGCACAACTGTCCAAGGTTAGGGGAGGGTTTGGCGGCCGCAAAACATGTTTAACCCCTCCACATTCTGTATGTGCCTGTCCCAAGTCAGAATCCTGTACTTCATTGGTTGTCGTTTGTTGCTGTGTATCATATTTGTATTTCGTTCATTATTTTTTACATAAATCAGGCCGTTAGTTTTCTCCATTGAATTGTTTTACATTTGTCAATTCGGGGCCTTTTATAGCTGACTATGCGGTATGGGTTTTGCTTATTGTTGAAAGCTGTACGTTGACCTATAGTTTTTAACTACTATGTCATTTGGTCCCTGGTGGAGAGTTGTCTCATTGGCAATTATACCACATCTTCTTATTTTTATGTAGACTTTTAACGAATCAAAGTTTACTACCTGAACTAGTGCATATCCACTTAATGCTAAAAATTTGTCAAAGCTTCATAACAGTACATGAAGGTTTACAAATTTATCATGTCAAACAAATTTATTCCCCGATTGTCTGTAAATGTTAGCTGTAAAAATCTAAGTCTATCAGAAAAATACTGAAAATGAAAATATATTTTTCAACGTTTGCTTCAGACATTAATCTTAATCTTAAAGGTTTGACAAGTTATTGATGACTGCAAAACTTTAACCTAAGATTGAATCTACTTGTTAACAGTTAAAACAATAAGTCCATTTATCAGTAAAATACGGAAAAATGAAAATGAATATTTTCAAAATTTTGCTCTGGATACTGTATTGTGTTCATAAACAAGCTTCTGTCCAAATTTCACAAAATTCCATGAAGATTTGACAAAGTTATTGATGTTTTTACATACTGAACCTAAATGTTGACGCTGCCGACGCTGACAACGGAATCTAGGATCGCTATGTTTCGCTTTCACGACATTAATGTCGCAGACTTGACAAAAAGGAAAACAAAACTTTATAACTTGCATGTGTCCGAAGCGTATTTCTATATTTACCTTCATCAGGAACTCTCAAAGCCGAATACTTGAAAATCAAGGAAGTATAAGAACCGAAACAGTTGAAGAGATAGATGACCAAACAAAAAAGAATAAAAATAATTGCAAAATCTATCTTAGGTCAACTTTGCCTGAAGGAGTTGAAACCTTAGTTTCTTTATAATTTTTAAATTGATCAACGAACAATTTAAGAAAGGTTTGTTGTAAATCATGCCAGTACCGAAGTACTGACCACTGAGCTGATGATACCCTCGGGGACTGATAGTCCGCCAGCAGCGTTATCGACTCAGTGTAAAAAAATGAATACAACACATCATAAATATCATGCGTCCGAAACGCTTTTCTGGATTTACCTTTAACAGGAACGTTCGAATGTATTAGGGTTGTTTGTACATAGAACCATTTTTTCTACCCGTAGAAGTCCCCCTAGTTAGACCTCCATACACATACAAAATACTACTTGCATAACAAAGCATATTATTCTCCGATACTGTAATTCCTAAAGTATTAAAGAAGTACATCTGCATTGTGATATCTGAGATCTGCCAAACACAAGTTCAGATGCGAGAAAGATGAAGGAAAGAAGAATATTAATATCAACACTAATGTCTCCAGTTTGTTTGGGAGACCAAATGGTCAGCATTGTTTATTCAAGAGTTAAATATCTTTTTGTATTGGAATTCGACACCGAAAAACATGAGAAAGAAGGATGGAATCATATTTTTTACTTTATTACAGATTACATTAACATTTCGCAGGAAGAAAAATTGCTGCAAAGGGCTGCAAGGGGCTGCAAGGGTTCCTAGCATACAAAAGGCAGTACATTCTTCGAACCAATATAGTTAAGAATATTCTAGTTCAACTAAATATTGATTGACTGATGATTAACTAAACTTTGCCGCCTTATTATATCACATTTAGGATATGAACCTGTGAAACAATGGTGTAAATTATAGTGTATATGCAATTGTAGGGAGATTATGTTTTGTAAACGTATGATTTTCATAAATCGATTAAGGAGACAACGTTACAAACAAAAAAAATTGAGGGACTAGAATGATACATGTAATCATTTCAGTGTCACGAAAACGTATTTCTGTAATAACCTTCGACGAGAAACGCTTGATGCCGCAAGTTTGGAAAGCCAAAATACATAACAACGTTTGTAAACTATACAATTCAAAGAGCTCACAAGAAAAGGCAAATCATTCTTATGATGTTACTCACCAAATCCATATCGTTATCCTACCTTTTTTGCAAAAACATAAAGATTTAAATATAATTCTGATACCTACATGAATGCCAATTGTTTCTAGAGTCAGTGTTTGCTTTGGCTGATTAACTAGCACTGATTGCAGGTGTTATAAAGTTGTGTATGTTATTGGTATCAGTTGTAAAACGGTTTTGAACTACAATGGGTATTTGGATCTAGACCTATCTTGAAAGTCTCAACAATAAATCAATATGTCATATTCAGTCTGTAGTCAATTTTATGGCATATTCAATACTGTTTAGATACTTAGATTGCGGTCAATTAAGATCTGACCATGCTATTTTCAGACTACTAGTATTTGATATATGTTATTGACATGTGGTGAAATACAAGAAGCTACACAAAAGTTCTGGACTGACTACAAACGAAATGTCTGAATTTCTTCCAACAGAAGGACCAGTAAGGCGCTAACGATTAAGCTATATAAACACTCCCTTAATGCTACCAGGCTTATAGATTTGTTCGCCAGACGCGCGTATAGCCTAGAGGCAAAATGTCCACCTTCAGTGGCAGTGTGGCAGTCATTTTCTTGATTATTTGACAATTTATTTGACATCGTCTTTAACTACCTTTTTGTTGTACATTTGCTATTTACTATTCTCGTGAATAAACATCAATTGCGAAATCATTGCTATTCCTTTTTGAAGTATATTGCAATACATTACTTTCAGCTTGAAATATTTTCCCTAATTTTAAATAATTCACCATTTTACAAAACTTTGAATTGGTCCAAATACTAATGATTTTCTAACCCAGGAATAGATTACATTGGCTGTGCTTGGCAAAACCTTTCGGAATCTTAGGTCCTCAATCTTCTTCAACTTAATACTTTATTTTGATTTTTTACTTTTTTATTCGAGCGTCACTGATGAGTCTTTTGTACACGAAAACGCGTCTGGCATACAGAATTTTGTCACAACAATTGACTTAATCCGCACTAGTTACATCTACCGTATAACACTTAACTTAACTATATCAAGATTTTTGCTGACCTCCAAAATTTGAACCAAAAATATTTATATAATTCAGGTTAACCCCGTATCAAACATACCGGTATTACAATTGACGCATTATGTTCAATATTACCTTTGTTTACAACAATGTCTTACCAGTATATCAAAATGAAAAGATTTTGCGGGATTTCAAACACGACAGTTCAATGCAATTGCACGAACAATTCGAAAAAAGCATAATTCAAAATGGATTGTGTTGATTTAAAATCTACCGGTATATAAAATAACATGAGCAACAAGACCGGTGCCACATTAGGAACAGGAATTGTTGACCCTTTTGGATCACCTGAGTTCATCCAGGTGTTTTAGTGGATTGCATGCTCAATATTTAGTTTTATGTGTAATGTTTTGTTATTGTTTCATCGTTTTTCGTTTGGTCATGGTGTTGTCTGTACTACATACGTTTTACGGTCATCACCACGAATTGGTTGACCAATACGATATGTTTGAGTTTCAGCTCACTATCGACATGTTTTGCAGTCTTTAATCTTAGATCAGAATAGAAGTCTTATCTGTAATTTTACCGAGTCAGTCTCATTCCCAATTATGACATTTTGACTGAGTAGGGACTGACTGTTTAATTGCATACGAGAGCCCGTTGCGTCTATCGGCGCAACCAATCGAGCTCCATTTAAACTTCATACAGTTCCCTCACGTTTTGTTTGTCACCATGGTTTATCTTCTTACTCAATTTATCAGATGTGAACATCGTTAATAACTGCTGCCTTAATTTCTTGGACTTATGGTTTTATTTTTCTTCTGTTAACATATACTTAATTCGCTCTAATATTAGTGAGTATGTATAAGCAAGAACAATGATGCTTTTATCTCTTTTTTGCAACACATTTACTTGGTATTGTTCAAATATGACAAAGGGCAATAAAGTCTACAACAACTGTTAATACAATGTAGCAAAATTTAATAATTTGTATCGATGCAAATCAAATCCTATCTAAACCATTTTGTATACGTTTGACGTGTTTCCTTGTTTCTTCCGAATCTTCACAGTTGTCATTTGTACTTAAAACTAATGGTCTTAATGCAGACTCCGATGTTTTATTGTGAGTTAATGACTGAATGGTGACATTGGCTTTCCCTTCTGACAATATACGAACTTTTGGTCCAATAAATGAAAGAATTATAGGCAAGATAATCACCCCATGAAGAAGTCCAAAAGCAACGACCAAAAATAAAACTTTAAAGAAAGATTTAAATATAAAACTTTTAGATAAAAGTAACATAGAAAGTCCAACAATTGTTGATAATCCACCATTGATAATTGGTCCACCAGCAAGTTCAATGGCTTCTCTAACTCTGCTTTGTTTATCACGTGACGGTGATGACAAATATGCGTGACATATATGCGCACTAAAGTCAACAGAAAAACCAACAGAAATGATTAATTCTATCATGGTTACAACACTGATATCAAGCCCCCAGATTTTTAAAAATCCGAAAACGCCAAGTAGAATAGAAAACATTGAAGTTGTGACGATCAAGACAATAGAAGGATGAGGCATAAATATGCACGTGACAATAAACATTGCTGTTACAGCAATTCCTACAGTTTGTAGTGTACTGCTAATCAAGGTGATGTATTGTTCGCAGAAAACAAATATAGGTGTGTATATGGTACATGGTAAACCTGATGACTCTGCAATTGCTCTCACATATAAAAGAAATTCTGCTTGCAGCTCAGTTGTTCTAACATTTCTACTAAATAAATATATTCTCGATGATAGAACTGATTCCTCATCGTCAGAATAAACTACATCATTCTTGAATACTTTTGTCATATTTACAAACTGTTTTAATCTTGTATAGAAATTATTTCCATGAATATTATCTCCATCATATTGAATGAATGATGACAACCAGTTTACTTCTAAATCATTTCGAACTAAAGAATTATTTTTCAACGTCTGAATTAACTCATCAATGGACTTTCGTATTTCTTTCTTTTCATAATGAACAGGTGCAGTGAACACAATTTGGAAAGGTAACTCTAGAGGATAATGATCATAGTCCCAAACATTTGCTGTGTAATAATTAGAACCTTCCATGGCTAAATCGGAATATTTTGTTGATTGCTTGATAGATTGCACTCCTAGAATTGAAAGAGTGAGATATGATGCATACACAGCTAGTATAACTAATCTTGAAAGCTTATTATGGACTAAAAATTGAACAACACGTTTAGGGTAAGTTTCAAGAATACTCTCCGTCTCTGAGCGGCTGACTGGTTTTTTGCCTGAACAGCATGTAACATAACACGATGATCTTCCTTCTTTTAGAAGCTGTTCTCTAGGTTTTGTCACGTGGCATGTATAAGAATGTTTCATTCTGTCTATCCGGCGTTGATGTATAACCAGACAAGGTGCAAGAATAGTAAGTTGGTTTAGATAACAAAAGAAGACTGCAATTCCTACAAAAAACATAAAATATTATTACGCATTTCGTGAAAAATTTCACATAACTACACATCATAAACTGGTTTATTAAAATGCACCGTTTGCCCCATTTGATAATTTATTCTTTCTGTGTATCTCTTTATCATCTTTTTATTTTATCGGGCTTTAATATGGTATGATTTGTCGTTATTGTCATCATTCATTAGATTGGTGGGTTTAGTAGATAACGTTTCTCCGAGATTTCCGAAAATTTGTTAGCACAATGTTCATTGGCACTCGATAACACAAGTGAGACTAATATTGTACGATCGCAATATTTCGAATCTAAATTGAATATAGTATGTATGATGTAGTAGCTTGGTCATAGGCTGAACCTGGTAATATATTTAGTAAAATTCGTTAGCAATTTGTCAGGATTATTTTTCCATTATAGCTTAGAAAGCAAAATATGTTGCCATAATACTGACAACAGTCATCAAGAGGAACATAAAATCGCATTGAAATTGGATGGAAAAACAAATTTTGATGCACACTCGTTATTATCACCCGTACTGCTGCTGTAAGTTGGTTCCATCTGACACTGGTAAATGCTCCTGTATTGGTGTGATTAAAACTGATATTTTACAGTTTATTAAATGATGTCAATGCAAATTCGCCATGGTCAATTATTGTATGACTTGAAGGTGATACTACAACTGGCATTTCGTGATTATGTCATCTATACAAGTAATATGATTTCAATGATTGAATTGTTCTATTCAACTTAAGGAGTAAGATAATGACTCTAAAGGCCTACTCTGGAAAAAATCAAATGAACATTTTTTGCAGAAATCAATGAAATTGTTACATAGAAATAAGAAGATGTGGTACTAGTGCCAATGAGACAACTCTTCATCTAAGTCACAATGTGTAAAAAGTAAACAATCATAGGTCAAAGTAAGGCCTTCAACACTGAGCCTTGGCTCACTTCGAACAGCATGTACATCATTTGCTAGTTTTGGCCTCACAAATTAAATTCTCCATATCTTTGTAACAAATACAGATATCAGAGAAATTTATGTATTACTGAAAAATTATTACACCAGGGTTTTCGATATCATAAACTAGTCAAAACATTTACTAAATTTTATCATCGGTATAAGGACATCATTCGTAAATATAACTCAACATGCAGACATCTTATACGTTCGGGTATTTCACATCCAATCTTTTATGGTAATATTCTTTACAAAGCACAAAAATGTCAGTATTCACCTCAAAAGCTAACAAAACCTTTAAACAGACTTATTAAGAAGGGATATAGTTACGATACTGTTGTCAGGTCATTAAAGATTGCATATTTTGGCTTTAATATTGATTCACTTATAGGGTCTTTGCATCGGAACTACACATATTTATTCTAAAACCAGTTGTTGTCATGACACGGGTTATGTTCTTCTCATATATTTTATGATGGTATAATACTAAACCCCTAACAGGAGGGATTGTGCCTGATATTCATATGATGAAGACATAATCTTTCAATCAGTTTAATTGAGGTCTGGAGCTGGCATGTCAGTAACTGCTAGTAGTCTGTTGTTTTTTATGTACTATTGTCATTTTGTTTATTTTCTTTTGTTTCCTATTCTGACATCGGACTCGGACTTCTCTTAAACTGAGTTTTACTGTGCGTACTATTGTGCGTTTGTTTTTTCTACATTGGCTAGAGGTATAGGGGGAGGGTTGAGATCTCAAAAAACATGTTTAACCCCGCCGCATTTTTGCGCCTGTCCCAAGTCAGGAGCCTCTGGCCTTTGTTAGTCTTGTATCATTTTTAATTTTAGTTTCTTGTGTATGATTTGGAGTTTAGTATGACGTCCATTATCACTGAACTAGTATACATATTTGTTTAGGGGCCAGCTGAAGGACGCCTCCGGGTGCGGGAGTTTCTCGCTGCATTGAAGACCCATTGGAGGCCTTCGGCTGTTGTCTGCTCTATGGTCGGGTTGTTGTCTCTTTGACACATTCCCAATTTCCATTCTCAATTTTATCAACTTGGAAGTTTTTTTGTATTCATCATTTTATAACATTTTTTTCTTTAAATTAACAAAAGAACATATTCTAATTTTATATCTTCAGTAGATTACTTTCTTGAAAAGGCTTAATTAATATTCAAAGAACAGAGTGCAATAAGGACGTTTCACGACCGATTTGTTAGTTACAGACTTGTATTTCTGTTTTATTTTAATGTTGAGATTATATTAAAAAAAATCTTAGGGAGAATGATGTCACAAAAAAATATGGTACGACGTACCTGAAAAGGTTTAAACGTTTTTGTTAGAGGAAAAAGCAATCAATTTTATGGATTTTCAAGCCGTCTTCATTTAAAAAAAAACAATCATGACTGTAAGAACCAAACAAAAATGATTTACTTATCTCATCAATGTTAAAAGAGGTTAAAAGGTACGATAGAGACCTCTCACTGACAAATATATAATACAAAATAATAAATTTTATTTTTAATAATTTAAAATTCAATTAGTCCCATCTTTCAATCTAAAACTTAATGAATATTTATATGACTTTGTATATACCTCTGATATTTCAACTTAAAAGTCATATAATGTTACACTTCATTTTAGGCCAAATAAGGTTTTAAAGCTTCTCCTTCGTCTTGGGAGTAATTTATGTAATATCCATTACAGCTAGAAATCCGAAGAGCAATTGATAGGTGCAATTCGGCAATGGATTCAATGATTGAAATCAAATCCAATCCAAGTTGACAGAAAACGTAAACTCATCTATGTAACATTTAAAAAAGTACGATCTCACTTTGAGCCGTCATACATGTAGCTCTGAAACAGATAGAGCTATAAGAAATCGGTTCTTGTAAACACATGATTTTATAAGGAACACAAAGTCAAACCACAATCAAATTGAACTTAAATTAATAAAAAAACATAAGTACATGTATTGTTTTATAGCCCGAATTCATTCATTATGTCTTTGCGACAATATTTAAAGGGATTTTTCTAAAGATTACAAAGAAAGATCACTCCAAAACCGGATGGTAATAAATTCTGTACATCGAACAGATTGGATGGATTATATTTTTTTTAAATCAAAACGACGTTTAACATCAATTTCCGTTTGTGCAGCCTAGTCTTGGTTTATGATGTAGGAAGTCAAACACGCGTTTTGTCTGCATATTACTCATCGGTTGTGCTCGAACCAAAACAGGCCAAACCAATAACGAAGTAGCTAGATATAAATGTTAAAAACAGTTGTTTGAACAGTAAAGTTGAACAAAAGGACTACGGGCACATGAATGATATTATTACTCAGCCCAGAAGACAACTTGGCTTGTGAAGCAATCGGTGACGAAACGTTGAAATCCTATGTTTTCAAGAAGTCTTCCGAAGTAAAGGATAAAAGACACGTATTATCCTATGTAATGAAATGATATCAGTTTTATTTAATCAGGCCGCTGGTTTTCTTTTATAAAATGATTTACATGTTATCATGCCGTTGATTCTTATAGCTTACTATAAATGGTAAGGGTTTTGCTCATTGTTGAAGGCAAACAGTGTCCTATAGTTGTCTTCTCATAGTCCTTTTGTATCTGGTTGATAGTTGTTTCATTGGCAATCATAACACATCTCCATATTTTGATATTAGTTGTTTATTCTTATTTTTTCAACAATTCTCAAATCATATTTCATTAATCACAGTTTAACAATTTGATAGTGTATTTTGTTCTTATTTAGGTTTACCCTTTTGTTAGGTGAACCATGAATTCTTTTTTTAGCTGTAAATCTGTATTAAAAAATCCTTCTTCAGCCGGTTTGTAGTTTATATTTACTTACCATACATGATATATTAGATAAAAAGAAACAATTGTTACATTTTAAGTTGGAAGTACATAAAGGTTAAATTGATTTTATAGTTCAGCTAGCAAAAAAGCAATTCTTACTGTCTTATTCTTTGTCCACACTGAAGTAAACACACTGATATATTTCAATAAAATGTATCAAACGTATGAGTAAGATATTTCTTTACCTGCATATACACAGAAGTTCTTTATTGTGTTGAATGCAGATGTGTAACCAATGAAAAATGTCAGGACATCAGTAAGGGACGTAACTGTAATGGCAAGTCCACTTGTCATCAATGTACGCTTCATTCTTTCTTCTATGGTCATTTTTTCTTTATCCATTGTCTCAGCATACCCAGACATAATGATAAACATATCATTTATTCCAATTCCTGAAGATTAAAAAAATATCAAACTACAAAGATCTATACAAGTTAAACAAGTCACATTGTGTATACTCTATTCTTATTAATGCAATTAAACGCAATGTCGAGGAGACGTCTGCTTCTTTTTATAGACATTTTTCAATGAAAAGTCTACAGAAACTTGTTCGTTTTACTTAATAAAAAAATCACGCAATCTAGAAGACATAGATAGATATCTAGGAAATAGTGGCTATACTAGCTGGTACCATATTGAACGCAACCCATCTCATAGACATAATTTTGTCAAGTGCTGTGACGTCATCAACGTGTTTTTTCATGATTTACTCCTTAAAGAATGGAATTTGGAATTAAATTATAAGGAATGACTTTAACATTTTTTTCTGTCTATGCGAAATAATCTCAAAAATGTGGTTCACACTTTTAAATAACCCGCTATGCAGGTTATTTAGGGACTGGGTGCACCGCATTTTTGATGTTATTTGTACATATATAGAAAAAAATATCACAGTCATTCCTTTATTGGCATTGCATTGTTTATATATATTTAGTCTATTTCGTTCTCAGACATAACGACAATACCTGAATGTTGGTTTTTCCTATCTTTTTTTTTCTTGTCCATTAGGGAATTTAGTGTTGAGACAGATCTTTGATAGACTCTGTTATTTTTTTACTACTTGTTTTGACTGAGCTGGTACAGACACTAAATCTTGTCTATTGTTGAATAGTTTTTGTTGATCTATGGATGTATTTTTGTCTTTGGGTTGCTGTCTCATTGACGTTTACATAACATCTCCTTTTATAAATGTTTTAAAATATGTAAATTATCATGAATATTGCTTTTACATTTACACTCATATTTACCAATGATAAGAAACGGCATGGTTGCAGCAGAATTCATAAATTTAACCCCACAAGCACTGGCGATTCCAACTGCTGGTATCATAGAAATGAGAGCACAAAATACACCAATCCGTCCTAAATTCTGTAAATCATAGATACAGTCAATTCTTTTCCCAGCAGTAGCTATAGAAGCATAGACGATCATCAATAGCAATGTTAATGGAAACAAATGTGCTTCCGCCATCGCACTCTTTCTTATCTCGTCCTCCATAGCATTATAATACGTAAATACAACAGACGTCTCGTTCGTTTTAAAATTTTCCATATGATTGATAAATTCTTTCACCCATAATTTCGATAACCTGTCAGTGCTATTTGGATTCTGCGACAAAAAGTATCTTAGTCTCACCATATTTGCCGAAATCACGTGGCCATTTTTCAATGAAGTCTGTGCAAGTATAGATGAAAGTAAGATATTATTATAAAGTGGATACGTGACGTTTTGTGATGCCATGCCTGAGACAAAACTAGGACGTAGAACCTCTTCCCCGAATACAACACATCTTTTGTTATTCTTAGCGCAGAGATCTTCCAATGTATAGGTGGAAATGTTGCCATCTCCCAATGTAAAGGTGGAAATGTTGCCATCTTTCACTACAATATCATTTCTGATAAGATTGTCAATGTTAATCATTTCAGCTAGTACCGGCTTCTCGAAAATGTTTCTTCCTTTTTTTGATTTAATGATGACTTCAACAAAGCATCCATAGTCTGGCAGTGAATATGCGTGAAAATTGTTTTCTGAAGAAGGAAACTGTGTTCTTAAAAATTCTCTGTCTTTGAAGGCTTGACTATTTTCCAGAAAGTACTGTTTTTCTATATTTGTTTCTAATTCGAAGTTTATTATGCCTACACCACAAAGAAAGTTAATTAAGATTGATAAGATAACGATATGCCATGGATACTTTGCTATTAATCGCCCATAACGTCCAAAAAAGCTAGCTAACCTCCGATCATGTGCAGTATAGCAACGAGAGAAAAACATGCAAGCCATGATATCACACTTTCCGTCTGAAAAAGAAGGTGATATTTATAAATAAGATGCATTTGAGCCTTTTTTTTTACTAATTTTAGAAAAAATAAGCTTTATTTATCTGAATGGCAAATACACGTTCAACTTGTCTTCTGTTATAATTTGAATTTAAACCTGACTTAATTTTTTGTAATTGTCTACACATATTGTGTACATATTACTTCTTTTATTGCTGATTCAGAGCCGGACCAAAATTTTCCGAAAAATAATTGATTATTTTCAAATGTATAGCCTCCGGTTGCGTTCAACTGAAATCAAGGCAAATCAATATTTTTTTTTCAAAGATCACCTTATAAATCAACATCAACATCAGGATAATAATAAACTGTTAACACAGAGTTATGTCTCGCCTATTTGTTATTTTGATAATGCAAATGTTGAAATTTAAATAGCAATACTTTAACATGTAAGTTATGCAAATATTCAAAGTCAATGAACCATGACTGAAGGTACAGGGCTAAACAATCTCCATGGAAATGAGATGTGCCAATGCTAATACAACTGCAAACCAAATACCATTGACTTTTCATAAGTCGTTCCCTTTAAACAAACCTAAACACAAACATTAACTTGTAAACTATGTAAAAGTTTCAAAGTCAATGAACCATAATTAGGGGGTGGGGTTATATAATCTCCATGGAAATGAAACTTGCAAATGCCAATACATTTGCATACCGAATATCATTGACTTAACATTAGTGGTTCATCTTAAACTGACCTAATCACAAACTAATACATGTAAACTAAGCAAAAGTTTCAAAGTCAATAGAACATGACTGAGGGGTAGGGACCAAATATTCTCCATGGAAATGAGATATGCCAATGCTTATACAACTGCATACCAAATATCACTGACCTACCACTAGTGGTTCCCCATAAACTGACCTAATCACAAACTAATACATGTAAACTAAGCAAAAGTTTTAAAGTCAATAGACCATGAATGAGGGGGCGGGGCCAAATAATCTCCATGGAAATGAGATATGCCAATGCTTATACAACTGCATACCAAATATCATTGACCTACTACTAGTGGTTCCCAATAAACTAACCTAATCACAAACTAATACATTGTAAACTAAGCAAAGTTTCAAAGTCAATAGACCATGACTGAGGGGTAGGGACCAAATATTCTCCATGGTAATGAGATGTGCCAATGCTAATACAACTGCATATCAAATATCATTGACCTACCACTAGTGGTTCACCATGAACTAGACCTAATCACAAACTAATACATTGTTAACGCAGCCGCCGCCGCCGCCGTCGTCGTCGTCGTCGATGACGCCGGAAACAGCATACCTATGTCTCGCTTTTTGACTCCGTCAAGGCGAGACAAAAAATGTAAACAAAATCTTCCAAGCGCCCACCCTAAACAAAATTCAATGGTCTTCCCCTAAGTGGTAATTGCAATATGAATGATTTAATAATGTTTTCAAGATAATAAAAAAAAAGTTATAAAACAATGCTTTGAAGTGGAAAATACGGAATCATCGGAAATTTTTTGGCAGTCATGGTTTTTTCTGGAGATTTTGATTTTTGTAACATTTTCCTGTAAGATTTTCCTTAGTATATAAAAATGTGGAATTATGGTATGATTGCCAATGAGACAACTATCAACTATATTGTAACAAAGAACGAGAAAGTACACTTAGTCTACTATAATTCTCAAGATATAGGACAGTTATTTGAAATTAAAATAGCAATACTTTAACATGTAAGTTATGCAAATATTCAAAGTCAATGAACCATGACTGAAGGTACAGGGCTTAAAAATCTCCATGGAAATGAGATGTGCCAATGCTAATACAACTGCAAACCAAATACCATTGACTTTTCATAATTCGTTCCATTTAAACAAACCTAAACACAAACATTAACTTGTAAATTATGTAAAAGTTTCAAAGTCAATGAACCATAATTAGGGGGTGGGGTTATATAATCTCCATGGAAATGAAACTTGCAAATGCCAATACATTTGCATACCGAATATCATTGACTTAACATTAGTGGTTCATCTTAAACTGACCTAATCACAAACTAATACATGTAAACTAAGCAAAAGTTTCAAAGTCAATAGAACATGACTAAGGGGTAGGGACCAAATATTCTCCATGGAAATGAGATATGCCAATGCTTATACAACTGCATACCAAATATCACTGACCTACCACTAGTGGTTCCCCATAAACTGACCTAATCACAAACTAATACATGAAAACTAAGCAAAAGTTTCAAAGTCAATAGACCATGAATGAGGGGGCGGGGCCAAATAATCTCCATGGAAATGAGATATGCCAATGCTTATACAACTGCATACCAAATATCATTGACCTACCACAGTGGTTCCCCATAAACTGACCTAATCACAAACTAATACATGTAAACTAAGCAGAGTTTCAAAGTCAATAGACCTTGACTGAGGAGGCGGGGCCAAATAATCTCCATGGTAATGAGATGTGCCAATGCTAATACAACTGCATACCAAATATCATTGACCTACCACTAGTGGTTCACCATGAACTAGACCTAATCACAAACTAATACATTGTTGACGCAGCCGCCGCCGCCGCCGCCGACGCCGTCGTCGTCGTCGTCGTCGTCGTCGCCGACGCAGGAAACAACATACCCATGTCTCGCTTTTTGACTCCGTCAAGGCGAGACAAAAATGTAAACAAAATCTTCCAAGCGCCCACCCTAAACAAAATTCAATGGTCTTCCCCTAAGTGGTCATTGCAATATGAATGATTTAATAATGTTTTCAAGATAATATAAAATAAAGTTATAAAACAATGCTTTGAAGTGGAATATACGGAATCATCGGAAAATTTTGGCAGTCATGGTTTTTTCTGGAGATTTTGATTTTTATAACATTTTCCTGTAAGATTTTCCTTAGTATATAAAAATGTGGAATTATGGTATGATTGCCAATGAGTCAACTATCAACTATTTTGTAACAAAGAACGAGGATGTACACTTAGTCTACTATAATTCTCAAGATATAGGACAGTTATTTGTATTTTACTCGTAACTGCTTTTTTAGTCATGCCGGCAATGCTGACTGATAAAAATAAGTAGTTCTAAAAGTAAAGACCTTTAACCAAAAACGCAAATTATTGGTGAAAAATGATTTCAGGGCAATAATACAAATAAAACGTCAACTGACAGTTTCAGTCGTGTAAAACACTTTTTTAAGTATTATATTGCTTCTCACTTTTACTGTTTACAGTTTCTGTCCATCTAGTATAGTTTTCAAAATTATAAGCAGAAAGTGTAAATTTGACTAAGTACTAAGGTCAAAGTCCACTGCGTTTTTCTTTGTTTTGCGTCCGTCTGAGGGTAGGTTTTTAAAGGTCTTAAATCAAAACAAAAAAGAACAGTATTTCAGGATATCTTTGAAAATCAAGAAAATAAAAATTTAAATTATTACGGGTTTTTCAACTTTAGTCTTTTGTATCTTCCTGAGTTGTACACAATCAAACATTCTTGATGTTAAGTTTGTTTGATAAAACTATCTAACAAGAATGATTTTAAATGTAAAAATGGCTTCAAACTGTATGATATGTTTATGGGTGTGTTTTATTTTTCATGAAAATAAGGAGATGTGGTATGATGGCCAATGAGACAACTATCCAACAGAGTTCAAATGAAGTGGATATAAGCTATCATAGGCCACCGCATAGCCTTCAACAATAAGAAAAACCCATACCGTATAGTGTTTGTTTTTCTTCCTTACTGGTTTGTAGGTTTTGAAATTTTTCGTTTACTCATCATATCAGATAAAGGTGGAAACTAAAAACCTTATAAACCAAAATGAAATTAAAGAACCATTAGTATGCAAGATCAAATACCCTACGACCCCATATAGAGGGGACAAGTTTTTTGTGGTTTGCTGGCATAGTATTTTTTTCCGTTTTTTTCTCATTCTTTTCTTTTTCATTTCAGACAGTCATATTGCCATACAAAAATCTATTTCTAAAAATTATAACCTTGACCTTATACCTATTGACTTTAATTTATTCAGCTTCCGGAAATCTACCTTTCTGCACACATGTCGCCCTATTTTTAGTAACTATTTCCTTGACCTAAAACGTAGTGACCTCAAAATTAATAGAGATCTTCCTCTCATTATATGTGACGATAAATCCAAGTAAAGTTAATCCTATAAGTGGCTATTTGTGTCATTGGCGGTAAAAACATGCCGTATAACACTTTTTACGCGTTGTCTTTCCCTGTTAACGCCTTGGTTTTCACTTGTATGGGTTGATTGTAAAAACTAACGCGTTAATTCGTACTCTATACGGTATGAAAAATCAACGCGTTAGTTTTGCAAATACGGTTAGTTTTCACTTTTAACGGTATAGTTTCACATATTCATACCGTTGGTTCAGTATTTTATGGACAGCCATTCGGGCAAAATTGAATAAAACTTTAAAAACAGACGTTAAGACCAAAAACAGACATCAAAAACGAAAACAGACATCAAAAACGAAAACAGACATAAAACATATGCATGTACAAACAGATGTGAAAAAAAATGAAAAACAGAGGTCAAAAACGAAACCAGACATAAAATTAAAAAAAACAGACGTTAAGAAATTATAAGCAGAAATCAAAAACGAAAACAGACATACAATAAAACATCTGTTGTCTTTTTTTATTTAATTGTATTTCTGTTTTCGTTTTTGACCTATGTTTTTAATTTGTTAACGCCTTTTTTTTTTATTTTGAATACACGACAAATCGGACCAAAACAACTCGGACCAGTCTTGAGACAACTCGGACCACTTTTAAAGACCAACTCGGATCAAAGACAAACCGATCCAAGACAACTTGGACCGTCAATTCAAAGACAACTCGGACCAGATTGAAACACTTGTCAGACCAGTGACTTTTACGTTTAATATGATTTTTGTTTGTTTTTGTCTAGATTTGACTGTAGTTGCTTCATACATATACATGTATATACATTTGAAAT